TTGTTCTTATTGTCTTCAATCAGTGACAAATAGTAAGATGTTCTGGCTTTGCGGGGGGCTTTCTTATAAATCAGCAAAATATTTCTCCAATTATGATGATCCTCTAAATTTGTGACACGCCATTTCCTCTCCAGCTTACGAGTCATCTGCTTTAGGCTACGTGTTTGAGAATTATACCACAGAGTCAGGTACTTCTGATCTGAGACCTTAGTTTTCACAGGAGCTACAGTATCCAGAGTCATATGTAGTGAGGAGGTAAAATTATTATTAACAAGATAATTGACCTCTGTTGGGGTAGCGTTCAGATAGCTGCTCTGCTCTGTGTTGGTACAGGTCATTGAAGATGATAACAGTGGGTGGATTACATTCTTAAACCTAGTTACAGCGCTTTCAGAAAGACATCTGTGATAAAGTCTACTCTCCACTGCTGTGTAATCAATTATTGTAAATGTAAATGTTATCAGGAAATGATCAGACAGGAGAGGGTTTTCAGGAAACACTGTTAAATGTTCAGTTTCTATGCCATATGTTAAAACAAGATCTAGAGTGTGATTAAAGTGGTGGGTGGGTTCTTTTACATTTTGAGAGAAGCCAATTGAGTCTAATAACAGATTAAATGCCATGTTGAGGCTGTCATTCTTAGCATCTACATGGATGTTAAAATCACCCACAATAATTATTTTATCTGAGCTGAGCACTAAATCAGATAAAAAGTCTGAGAAATCAGACAGAAACTCTGTGTAAGGCCCAGGTGGACGATAGATGATAACAAATAAGACTGGTTTCTAAAATTTTTCAGCTGGGGTGGACAATGCTAAGCATCAGGCTTTCAAATGAATTAAAAGTCTGTCTTGGTCTTTCATTAATTAATAGGCTGGTGTGAAAAATTGCTGCCACACCGCCCCCTCGGCCTGTGCTTCGAGGTTTCTGGTAGTTAGAATGACTCGGGGGTGTTGATTCATTTAAACTAACATAATCATCCTGCTAAAACCAGGTTTCTGTAAGGCAGAGTAAATCGATTTGTTGATCAATTATTAAGTCATGTACTAACAGAGACTTGGAGGAGAGAGACCTAATATTTAATAATCCACATTTCACTGTTTTACTCTTTAGTTAGGATGTGGATACTGTATTGTTCTTTCTTTGTAATTGTTTATGTTTAAGTTGTTTGTTGCTGGTTTTTAGTTTGTTTTTTGTCTTTTTGGAAGCTGACACAGTCTCTATGGAGATGGGTTTTTGGGGGGGTAGCAGGAGGAGAGAAGCTGCAGAGAGGCGTGTAAGACTGCAACTCTGCTTCCTGGTCCCAACTCTGGATAGTCATATTAGGGGGGGTTTAATTAATTTGTCCATATTTCTAGAAATGAGAGCTGCCGTCTCTCCTTATAAGACCAGGTTTCCTCCAGAAGGTTTGCCAATTATCTATGAAGCCCACATCGTTTCTGGGACACCACTCAGACAGCCAGCAATTTAAGGAGAACATGCGGCTAAACATGTCACTCCTGGTCTGACTGGGGAGGGGACCAGAGAAAACTACAGAGTCCCACATTGTTTTGGCAAAGTTACACACCGATTCAATATTGATTTTAGTGACCTCCGATTGGCGTAACCGGGTGTCATTACTGCCGACGTGAATTATGATTTTACTGAATTTACGTTTACCCTTAGCCAGCAGTTTTAAATTTCCTTCAATGTCGCCTGCTCTGGCCCCTGGAAGACAATTGACTATGGTTTCCGGTGTCTCTAGCTTCACATGTCTGAGAACAGAATTGCCAATTACCAGAGTTTGACCCCCGACGGGTGTGTCGCCGAGTGGGGAAAAACGGTTAGACATATGTATGAATTTGAGGAGTGGACCCAAAATGCTGACACAAAGGAACGTGAAAGAAAATTTGAATATTAACAGAAAGCAAGCCGTTTATTAATCTCTACTTTTAAGATTAGGCTTCAAACTTTCCTTTTTGCTAAAGCATATAGTTAGGGCTGGATCAGGTGACCCTGGATCCTCCCTTAGTTGTGCTGCAATAGACGTAGGCAGCCGGGGGATTCCCATGAAGCACTGAGTTTTTTCCTTTCCAGTCACCTTTCTCACTCACTGTGTGTTAATAGACCTCTCTGCATTGAATCATACTTGTTATTAATCCACAGCATGTCTTTGTCCTGTCTTCCTTTTCTCACCCCAACTAGTCACAGCAGATGCCCGCCGCTCCCTGAGCCTGGTTCTGCTGGAGGTTTCTTCCTGTTAAAAGGGAGTTTTTCCTTCCCACTGTCGCCAAAGCGCTTGCTCATAGGTGGTCCTATGATTGTTGGGTTTTTCTCTGTATCTATTATTGTGCGATCTACTGTACAATATAAAGCGCCTTCAGGCGATTGTTGTTGTGATTTGGCGCTATATAAATAAAATTTAATTAAATTAAAAGATTACAAAACAAAAGGCAGAGGTGAAGCTAAACAATAACCTAACCTGGGGAAAATATTTTTTATTAAAAAAAACAAACAAACCATGAAACCTGACATGGATACAAAGATACCTGGAACATGGAAACGTGGCACCAAAGACAACAGATGACCTGACACTGAACAAATGAGGACAGGACTTACAGTTGCTTGCAAAAGTATTCGGCCCCCTTTAACTTTCCCACATTTTGGCACATTACAGCCACAAACATGAATCAATTTTATTGGAATTCCACGTGAAAGACCAATACAAAGTGGTGTACACGTGAGAAGTGGAACAAAAATCATACATGATTCCAAACATTTTTTACAAATAAATAACTGAAAAGTGGGGTGTGCGCAATTATTCAGCCCCCTGAGTCAATACTTTGTAGAACCACCTTTTGCTGCAATTGGATTCCATTAAAATTGATTTGTGTCACGGCTGGGAAGGCGAGCCGTGTGGTGTGGAGGAAGGAGGACCCAAGATGCAAGCAGTGGATGAAAATGCTAGTGAAGTTTATTTACAAGGTGTAGTGGCAAACAAGCAGTGGGGCATGACAAATAACTGAAGACACCTAAACTGGGAAGAACTAAAATAACAGACCTGGGTGCATACGACAAAGGGATGCGCGGCAGCCGCCAAGCAGGACACCGAGTAACAGGCAGGAGAACACACAGGGCTTAAATACACACACCAGTAATCAGGGGATGAGAGACAGGAGGGCAACACGGCTGGGAGGAATCAGAGCTGACGGGACAGGGGAAACGTAAACTGAACACACTCACATCAGACAGAGACCTTCACAATAAAACAGGAAACTCAGACACGGGGAACCAAACAAGACACAGAACTAAACAGATTCACAAACAGACGGGGTGACAGCATAGACAGTGACACAGACGCAGACCAAATATAACACATAGAACTCAAACAATAATAATCATCATCATCATCATCATCATCATAATAATAAACTAAAAGCGCTGGGTCACCAACCCAGGACCATGACAATTTGTGTTTGTGGCAGTAATGTGACAAAATGTGGAAAAGAGGGACGAATACTTTTGCAAGCCACTGCAAGTACACAGAGAGATAATGAGGGGATGAGGAACAGCTGGGACAAGGGGAAACAAAACTAGACTCACTGCATATAGGACAAAGACTTTCCCAATAAAACAGACATCACAAGGGTAATCTAATAAACAAATGAACTTAGCAAACCTAAAGAACTTATAAATAAACATCGACATCTAAACAAACTAAAACTTAAAACGCTGGGTCAACAGACCCAGGAAAGTGACAGTAAAATCATTTATTATACACATTATACTTATTTTCTTAAATTGCTTATCTATTATCTGTATTTTAACTTGGGGGTCTAGGGGTGCTGCATGTTTATGATAACACACTGACAATATCAGGACAATTTTAGCCTTACTCTATCAGTGAACAGCATGCCCATGCTAACTTAAACTAGACCAGCAAGCTAACCCCATGTGTATTAAGTGTTACTTCAGAATAGGAACCAAACAAATTAACGGAACGAAATTAACTGTAACAGCAGTTTGCAAAACATTGTGACAGTTCTCAAGTGTTCCTACCTCAAATCCAGCACGTGTTGCTGTGTTTTTGTTGTTAAATGGACGAGGAGAGGCTGGTGAGACGATGCAGCATTTCGTCAGTGGAGCATAGAACGACGTCTCTGATTGGTCAAAAAGTGAGTAAAGATGCATCTGATTGTTCGAAAGCGTCAACCAAAGAGCTGCTGGTCACGGCAAGATACAAACTCGCCGGAGCTCTGCGTGAACGGCACATCCAGGACCTTCAGCACTCAGGAGAGATTTATCTTGAGGTATGTATTTACCTTTGATATCCATGCGTCGACGCAAGCTCCGCGAGGTAAAGTTGTATGTTTAACAAGCTAATTAAGGTTAGTTAAACGGAATTAAAACAATACACAACCGATTTGAACAAATTGAAAGTGGTGAATGATGATAAATGCTAAAAAATTACTTAAGATTTATCTTTAACAATAGATATTAGAAGTTAAATTTAACTGTTTTTAAATTCCCACCGGAGTTAAAGGGACCTGCGGCCTTGCATGTGCTCTGCATCTTCAACTGCAGAGACAGTCAGTCTAAGCTCAGTGTAGCTAACTGCAACACACTTCTTTTTTTTTTCAACACAAGATATGCTTGGGGGGATTTAAATGATAATATTAATGTTTTCTTATTCAGCACAAATCAATAATATTATAGTTATTTGCTCACGGTCTGGGTCTCTGGCCCAGCGTTTCTGATGTTATTCTAAGGTTTTTGAGTTTCTTATGTTTAATGGCGGGTTAGTTGAGTTTGGCTTAACGTTATTAATATCGTTTTAAGGAGTTTATGTTAGGGCTGTATATTACCACGTTTGTATTTTCATGCCATGTTTCCTGTTTTATTTTGAAAGAGTCTGTTGCGTTCAGTTCATTAATCTCACTTCCCTGTTGTGTCAATAGAATCATTTGTGCAAGCTACTACCCTGCTGTCCCTCTGTTGTGTCTCAACCTCCAACAGGAAAGTAGAAGTCCTCATATGGTAGGACCAGTGATTGTAGTGTGTGTTACACTGTCCTCATATTGTTTTAAGCTGTGAAGGACAGGAGTGTGTTTCAGTTGCCTTCCTCATGTGGTAGGACCAACAACTCTAGTGTGTGTTACACTGTCCTCATATCGTTGGGTAGCAGAACCGTACAGTGTTAAGTTTCTATAGAATCTGGTATAAGGAAGTCAGATCCTTCTGTAATAATATTCACTGATACAAATATGATCTGTAGTTAATTAAATAGTCGGGATTTATACTAGAGAATGTTTCTGACGTTATATTGTTGTCTTTTGTTGCAGACACCAAGTGCCGAGGTCCTGTCTCAACCTCCTTCAGACCAATTGGTGAGTGACACACCCACTTCATTCTTCCAACAGGTTACACATTATTTTTTTGTATTTGGCATCAAGTATATGTGTCAGTTGGGCCTAGTGCATAAATTAACTGCCCTTTGATTATATTAAAATAATCAGTTTGATTGAAAGTTTCCCATATTCAACATTAGCATTACTTGTTTGTGAACATCTTAGGAGAAAGAAATTGGCATATCATTTGTTAGTCCTAACTTTCCCTTTAAAGCATCAGCTTGATCTTTATTCCTACTAAATTTGATATTTCTGTGTTACATTGTCCTCAGATTGTTTTAAGCTGTGAAGGACATAAATTTGTTTTTTTTTTAGCCTTTCTCAATTGGTAGAACCAACAACTCTAGTTTGTGTTACATTGAAACTGAACAGCAGGGATGTTTGTCATGAAGGTAATAACACTCTATCCGATTTCAAACAATCACACTGTGATGAGTATTATTAGTAGATTATGTTCACATGTAAAATATTCATATCAAATGGTAAATATCCTATATTTATATAGCGCTTTACTAGTCCCTAAGAACCCCAAAGCGCTTTACACATCCAGTCATCCACCCATTCACACAGACATTCACACACTGGTGATGGCAGCTACATTGTAGCCACAGCCACCCTGGGGCGCACTGACAGAGGCGAGGCGGCCGGACACTGGCGCCACCGGGCCCTCTGACCACCACCAGTAGGCAACAGGTGAAGTGTCTTTCCCAAGGACACAACGACCGAGACTGTCGGAGCTGGGGCTCGAACCGGCAACCTTCTGATTACAACTCTTCAGCCACGATCGCCCCTTAGCCCCTTAATGTAGAATTACACACTGCCCAACGCTGACTTTGCCTACAATGCAGAGAAAAAAGCAAACAGACCTATTGCATGCATTGATTCTCATATTTCACTGTTACTTTTCAAAGGCTCAAGGACCAAGTATTCCGGGGGTTCCAAGCCACACGCTTTACTCAGCTGCCCTGGACAACATGAAGGGCACCTCTGCCTCAATCACCCTGGACAACAAAAACATTAGCAACACTTCACCAAGAAGGGGTAAAGGCACCCAAATACAAAATGTTTTAGGTTAATATACTTGTGATCAAAGAACAAGTTTGTTTTCAGACATGACACTATTCAGAGCTTTTATCATAAATCATTTCATCTTATTTGATTCCCAGCAGAACACAGCACTTCAAATGGTTCATTCCAAGCATCCTTAAAGGAGCAATAAGCAATATCTTTTCACTGCTAGGTGTGCTGTTTTGCACTGCCTGTGAACCAAACCAAAGTCTATGGCTGGAGATCAACACAGAGAGAGGGATTGTGACTTCATGCTGTACTCCAGATGTAATTACACCTCTAGTTCTTCACATAGTCATTTTTAATTCCTTCAACCTAAGTATGATGAATTGTGCTTATTGCTCCTTTAAAGTGCTCCAGTAGAAAGCAAGGTTTAAGAACATTTTGTATTCACATTATAAACTAGAATATTTTCTATCTTTTCTTGCATTCACATTAAGATATTTTCTTTTGTTTCCATTTATGACAGCTGGGACGGTGAGAAGCAAGTGGACAAATGATGAAGTGAAGGTTGCTGAGCGGCACGTTTCACTTCATAAAAAGCTGCAAAGTACCAGGTAAAAAGGAATGTGACTGCTGCCTCCAAGCAGAGCCGGCAGCTCTGAAAGGCAGAGACTGGGTTGTCATAAGGTACTACAGCCACAACAGGATCATAGCATTAAAAGAAAGATGCAAGAAAAAAAGAAGCAAGCAAGAGAGATACTTTGTTACTTCCACAGTTATGTCAGTATTGCAGTTTTCTGTATTGCATTGTTCTTACTCATAAATCTGTGGTTTATGCTGGGTGCTTTTTGCAATTAAATGATAAAAAAGGCAGATAATGTTCCACGTTTTTATTCACATGAACATTCACTACAAAATGAATTAATGCATTACAATATCAAGACTTAAAAAGTAGACTGACCACATTTGACCCATGTCTTTTTTTTTTTTAAAGTCTTTACACAGCTCAGATTTACTGTTTTATTAACACAAATGTCTGATATTTCTGTCAGAAGTTACCCAACTGGTGAGCATTACTATTGTGCATCCATGTCTATTATATTGTAATCTCAAAAGGAGCCAAGCTAAAAATGCAGAACCTACCGTTACCTGGTCCTTATAAGTCATGTATACTTGAAAATTATGTGTTTCCATGGGCTTCACAATTCATCTAAACATGAAATATCTGTGTGTGACCTTATGGTACTCATAAGTCACATAAACCTGACAGTGTCCTCACAAGTAGCATTAAATTCAGGTTTGACCAAAATTTAGCCCTAGCCAAAATCTCAACAGATGGGTGTGTTCCTGGAAGCATGGGTCAAATTTTTTGAGATTCCCATGCCTCTAGGACCTTCGGAAAGGCACGTTCCCATTTGTCACATTTTTGTCATACGTACTGATATATCACGAAAACACGTGTGTGTGTGTGTGTGTGTGTGTGTGTGTGTGTGTGTGTGTGTGTGTGTGTGTGTGTGTGTGTTACTGCTAATCAAAGGGTCCTATACGCACAAAGGCACACAACAAACATCCTTGGTCAGGAAGAGAGTAGACCCCCCCTCATCCTAGATAACACCGTGAGGAAGTCCAGCAGTTCATTTATAAACAAAAGCACTTAGACTAGAACAGACGCAACTACGTTAATCCTACCGTAAAACAATAAGACAAGGCACGAACTCTCGTGCCCTCAGTGTGCTCTCTAATACAAACAAAGTTTGCAGACTATTAAGTATGATCAAACCTCTACCAATCTAAAACTAATTATAAACTCTAAGCATATATAAGTAAATATTTCTAAGCATAAATGACAATCAAAAATACAAACTCTAACACTTGTACTCTGGGGCCTCTGGATATCTGGGGCCTGGATCTCCTCCATGCCTGCTTCATACCCTGGAGGACGGGGCTGTGGCTCCCCACACTCCCTAGCAGATCGTTACATGGAGAAACCTTTGGAATAGAAGCATGCTGATCCACACAGGTATGCACACAGGTGTACACACGGGTGTTCACAGACGCGGACTACACCTTTCTTGGCTGCTGCCTCAAAGCACATTGTGCGCTGTCTATCTTGCGTGCTGCACAATATCGTTTATTATTTAGTATCTACTGTTATCTACTTCTAGCTAGTTTATTGTGATGGTGCTGTTTTTATTTATTATGTTGCTCTTTGTTGTTTGCTTTCTCTTCTGTTTTTTTTCTCCATACAGGTGACCCAGGTGTTTTGTTTGTTTTTCTTTTTTCTTTTTTTCTTTTTTTTTTTCTTTCTTCCCCCCTTCTCACCATCTCTTCTCCCCTTTGGTTTTTATTTCTCTCCCTCTCTTTCTTTCATTCTTTCTCCCTGTCCTATCCCCCAGTCATGTCTGTCCCGTTTGTAGCAACTGAAAATAAAATAAATTCATAATTATAATAAAGGTCAATCAAATGGACCAATATGGCAAGGCCATGATGATCCACTTGGTAAAATAAATCCGCTTGGCATCTTTCTTGGCCTTAAGACAACAATTCTGATGGCTAAAGATCCAAACGGGACACAAAAAAAAGAAAAAGAAAAAAGAAAAAAAAGAATTTGTTCTCTGTGCATGTTCACGGGTGATGGGCAACGTAGGTATAAGTATGCAGTAAAGGTGATGCTGATATAAGAATGAGCAGAATGTCAAAGATATGCCCATAAAAGTTTGTATTTTAAATGTCCTTTCTTCTTCTTTCAGTCTTCTGACACATCAAATTTGATGGAAAATCACCATTAACCGTAAGTGACATTTTTCAGATGAAAAGTAACAAATGTGAAAGGATTTAATTAATTAATTTCACTCTAGGTCCAGCTCTTGGGATCAATTTCTCGATTTCTTGGGATCAATTTCTCGATTTGATCATCAAGATGATACATACTTTCCTCATCAGTTCAGTAGGAATAAAGATTATTCATAAAATTAGTTCAGAAATACTTTTTTAAAGGAGTTCTGCATTGGTGTATGAATTAAATGCATGTTAATTCTCTTTGTTTTAAACAAGGTGTTAACAGTTTACTCTTGCTTACACATTTTATGTATTAAGTATAAAATCCACAAGTGATATTTTACTCTCTAAACATGGACAACATTTAGGCTGACCATGTTATAGTACGGAACAACATTTTAAGCTCTATTAGTAGCTCTTATGTTTCATAGTTAGCGTTACATAAGTATATATATATGTACCCACAATAAATGAAACATGTTAAACAAAACAAATGTAACAATTCACCTTCAAATGTCTCTGTTTTTTCACTTAGTTTCCATTCAGTCAGTTTTCTTTGCACAAAATCACCCATGACCAAAAATCGAAACTGAAAGATAAATTGTAATTTCCATTAAACCATTCCTCCTTTATATACTAGACCTTTCAACTCCCTAAACTGATCAGTAGAGCAGTTACATATATGGAAAGATTCATCAGAACAAAAAAATTTTGTGTGTGCTCATCTGCTTTTAAAGTTAATGCGAAAATGGTCAGTTATGGAGGATGAAGTTAGCAGGCAAAAGGAGAAGTCCAACAATAAGCAGGATTACAAAGAATAATAAGATTCAGATTAAACAGAAAATAAAAAGACAGACGTGAATGAGTCTGATGATGAGTGTATGAGAGGGACTGGATGTTTGTTAAATGTAGAAACTGTCTCGGTTCATTGTTGTCTGTATGTCAATTAGTTAAAGGGGTTAAGTAGAAAAAGAAAGGAAAACAAAAAACGTTTTAAAATAAATAATAATATATTAAATAATAATAATAAATAAGAAAAAGTAAAATCACTTACAACAACTTCTGCTAGTATATGTATTTTGCACTATGTAAGAGTGGTCCCCTCACATCACTGACACAGGTCACATGATGACGTATTCTGGGTTTTTTTTCTACAGTCTCATTTAGTGTCTTAGTATAATATTTACATTTTGAACACAACAATCAAACTCCAAACACTCCAGTTCATTTCTGAAGTACTGTGTTTTTACTCAGGTAATTCTATTAATAATTTTTTTTTTTTTTTTTTTTAGCAACTTGAGTTTAGATGTGTGGAGTTAGATATGTTACAGAAAGTGTTGAAAGTAATGCACATACCAGAGAGTGATGCAAAGTGCACCCCGAGAAGTTTTTTTTTTTTAAAGTATAATAAACATGTTTCTCATTTGCATAGGGAAAAAGCTGTAGATATCCTGGAGTAGGTACAAGTAATTTGCACGCTAGTTTGACTAGCCACACCCAATTCTTCTCAAAACAAATGACCTCTTGTACAACCATCACAGCCACCATTTATCTTGCATGCAAATGAATTATTATGTGTGCAAATGATTTGTACTTGTCCTATTCTGGGATATCAACAGCGGCTCTTTGTTCATGCAAATAAGAAACGTGTTTATCCCAAAAATACTAATAATTTCTTTCACTTTGCTGATATGTGTATTTCTTTTAACAACATGTTAAAACGACCAAGGTTGTAAAAAAAAAAAAAAAAAAGTGTTTTCATCTTAAACCTAAAATAAATACAAATACTTTTATTGAGGTTTCAAGGTTTTCATGGACCATGTGAAGGTCATTTTTGGAAAGTTATTCTTGTTGCAGAATGTGAATGCTACCTGACAAAAATAAATGTTGGAGAAATGGAGGCTGAATAATGGACAGCAGAATACTAACATCATAAAATCAAAGGAAAGCTCACCACTCGGATGATTTCCAAGTTTCCATCATTTCTGATGGAGGCTTTAACATGTGAAGATGGGTGCCTATTTGTGAAATCTCCATATTAGTCTTTCATGGAGTTCTCTGCATTACACCAAAGACACATACATCAACTAAAAGTGAGTGCAAATATTCTGGTACAAATCCAAACACAATGTCAAACAAAGGAAGTCTGGAAAGCAAGGACACTCCTTTTATTCCATCCTTCACGACCTAAAACTTCTCCACCTGCATAAGATTTTTTTTATTTTATTTTTATTTAACTGTTATTTAACCAAGATCCCATTGAGATTAAAAACCTCTTTTTCAAGGGAGACCTTGCCAAGTAGGCATGGGTATCGTTTAGGTTTTATCCGATACCGGTGCCAAATCGGTACTTTTGAAACTGTGCCGGTGCTCAAACGGTGCTCAAACTGGTGCTTAAAGAATGGAGAACACAAAATTGGTCCAAAAACATATTTGCATGGGCAAACAGCTTCTTTGATTCCCTGAAATATAAAGTACAAATGATTTGGGAACATGTCCTCCATCTCCTTTTCCCAACCACATTAAAGCCAATGTCCTGTTCCACCCACTGCACACAAAGCAAACAACCCCATGCAAACAAAACACACCATATTTACTCAGAAGAAAAATTAAGCTTGAACCATTTGCTGAACACAGGCCATCTGAAAAGCAAGAAAACTAAAAGCAAAATAAACAATCTGACCACTAATGAGCTTTAATAATTGATAAATCGCCAAGAGACCTTATATAAATCCTCGCTGTGAAGGAGATATTATTACAAATAATTAGCAAATAATACCAGGTGTTCAAGTTACCACACCTGACAGCATATGATAGGTTTCGTTTTGCCTGAATCGCAGAGGCGTGTATTACAGTCTGGCTGGGATGCATACACTGTGGTTTTGCTTGAATTTGTTCTCTGTGCATGTTCACGGGTGATGGGCAACGTAGGTATAAGTATGCAGTAAAGGTGATGCTGATATAAGAATGAGCAGAATGTCAAAGATATGCCCATAAAAGTTTGTATTTTAAATGTCCTTTCTTCTTCTTTCAGTCTTCTGACACATCAAATTTGATGTAAAATAAACATGTTAATATATATTCTGTGTGTGCAT